GTTACTTACTAATTTCTTTTATTCTTTGATATTCCTTGAAACGGAATTTTCTTTTACAAAGTTGGAACGTCTTTAAAAAAAAGATTGTGAAAGTGATGGTATTATAATACGTAGTCAGATTAATACGTAGTCAGATTAATACGTACATGGTTAACGTTAAAAAAAATTTTTTTAAAAGAGTAAATAAATGGGCTTAATGAATGAATGAATAAATGATTAACTATATAGTAAATAATGAGTGGACGAATTAATAAGCCCCTATTTTTATATGATCTCAATCTGAAAATTTTTAAACAATAAAATGTCTAACGGTATATCTTTTAGATTTTTGATACGTACGTACGTACGTACATATTCCAAATTCTACTTTTAAAGTTTATGTGCCCCCTGGACTGCGCCTGTTTTGCCGAACGTGCTTGACATGCAAGGGTCTAACCGATTTCTTTATATGCGTCAGGCCAGTTCTAGACTTCAATCCACCTATATACGTACGTACTATCGCTATATTATCAGTACGTACATAACGCACGTACGTACGTATTTACGTATTTACGTACGTATTTACTTTACGTACGTATTTACTTTACGTACATACGTACGTACGTACGTATCGTCGGGAAAGTATCGGTATGCTGTATTTTCACATGCACAGCCGTAATGCAGTGTTGTACCTATGCATAACAATAAATTGACATTCTTAGAAACGATCTCCATGACCGGTAGTTTTCAATATAACGTCTTTTTTTTTTTGTAATTTTCACTTTTTTTTTTTTTTGTTTTATCCAGTTAACAATGTCGCAGTCAGATATAACTCGATTTTTTGAATCTTTTAACGATCCAAATGCTGAAATCCAACATCAACCTTCTGTTAGTGGTGATACTGTGATCAATACTGATTCACAAACAAAAAAATCTCCTTTATGCAAAGCAAAAGATCAAAACTCGAATGCCGGTGGCCCGATTCGTAACACTCGGAAAAAAGATCAAATTTCACCAATCACTCAACGTATTAGAAAAGCTGCTACTTTTCAAGACTCTTGGAAATCAAAGTTCCCTTGGTTAAGAATAGAAGAGCGTGATCCTCCTAATGGGAGTGATTCTTCAGCTTCTCGTCAAATTGTCATGTTTTGTAGTATTTGCGAAAAAATTAAGATTAAAACCACTCTATGGTCTACAACCGGGTGTACTATGTATAAGGCTGATTATCTTAGGCGTCACGAGGCCTCAAAAGAACATTCCATGTCAAAAGAGGCCTCTTTAGATCCTTTACCAACTGAAAAATCTGCTATTAGTTCATCCTGTGATAATTTATCAAAAGGAAATATTATAACTCAATTAAGAAATACTTTCTTTCTTTCTCAACATAATTTTACTCTTAATATTCTTAATGACTTTACCAATTTCATAACTTTTCAATCACAAAATCAAAATGATACTAATAACAACAATTCCAATAAAGAACTTTTAATCCTTCGTCCCCCTAGATTACCTTCTAAAAATAAAATTTCTCTCAGAGATCTTTCTATATCGAACAATTACCTTACTTATCCAAGTAGATCTACTAATCACGAATTTCTCGAGATTAATGCTAAAATTGTCGAAAAAGCTGTTATCAATGAAATAAATAAATCTTTATGTTGGAGTCTTTTGATTGATGAAAGTGATACAAAATCTTCTACTTCTGAAAAGATTTTGACTCTGGCTTCTAAACATGTCGTTGATGATTTACCGGTTTTAAGATTCTTGGGTCTATTAAAAGTTTCTAATACTTCCGCCGAGTCTCTTTTAGTTGCTATTGATAATTTTATCTCACAAAAAGGTTTAAATGCTTCTACTTTATTACATTTTGGTAGCGTTGGATCTTCTAATGTTTCTGGTATGTTTATTTATCTTTAATTTCTTTTTTGTTTTAATTTAATTGATTTTTTCATTTTAATTGATTTTATTTTAATTGATTTTTTTTTTTAATTGATTTTTATTTATTTTTTTTTTCATTTCTTAATTGATTTTTTTTTTAAAAAAAAATTTATTTCATGCTTATATCTATATTTTATTTATGTTTGTCTTTATGATTTAGATTTACATTATGGCCTTTTCACATTGCTCAAGCAAAGAAATCCTTTTTTGTCTTCCAATCATTGTGTTGTGCACCGTGTTCACATGGCTATAGATGATGCAACAAAAGATATTCCATATTTTCAAACGTATAAAGACATAGTTAAAGGTATTTACACTTATTTCTCTGATTCTTACAGAAGGATGTATGAATTAAGAGACGTTGAAGAGAATATAGACAATCCTGATTTGTTCATATTGAACAAAAAAGAATCAAGTTGGCTTTCTTGGGCTCAAGTCATTCAAAACTTTCATGTGATTATTGATGATGTTTATACTGAGTTAGAATCTCAATCGGGTGTCTCTAGTATGGCTAAATTTTTATATAATTCAGTTGATACTGAATTCTATATAGTTACAAAATTTTTGGCTGATATTATGGAAACTTTAATGTCAATGATTAACGTGTTTCAAAGTGATTATGTTTCATTAAGTGAAACTAGGAAACAATTGAATATGGTTATAGAAACCATCACTACAAATTTTATTGGTACTGAATTTTCGACTCCTAATTATGGTACATATTTATTGATGTATATGAATGAAAATTCTTTATCTAATTATGATTTACCAGGTAATCCTTCAATTTTTATTTTTTATCATTTAAAAAAAATTTCCATGTTTATATAAAAATTTCATGTTTAACAACTCTATATTTTAAATTTTTTCATTCAAGGAATCGTTGTCCAATTTTCATTAAACATTATTCAAAGTTTGCGAAATCATTTTCCAACTTCACATCTATATCATGCTATGCGTATTCTTGATCCATCCGAATCTCCTGATGATCAAGAATCTTTAAGAACTTATGGTGACTCTGATGTAAAATTTCTTGCTGATTTTTATGGAATCTCTAAACCCATTACTCTTAACAATACATATCATCCTCCGATTATTGATAATAAAGGAGTGATAAGAGAATGGCAAATGGCAAAATATTTAATTCATGGTTACCGAAATTATTCATTTATGGAGGCTTGGAAAAAAATTTGGGTTCAGAATTTTCAATTTAGGAATCAATTTCCTCAATTAACAAAATTGATAGAAATTGCTCTTACTATGCCAATTTCTAATGGTACTGTAGAACGTGTATTTTCTCGTCAAAATTTGATAAGAGATGAAATGAATCCTGATATTCTTAGTTATTATTTACATTTATCCCTTAATGCTCCTGAATCTTGGGAGTCTTTTGATTATGAAAAAGCTTATGAGTATTGGATTGGGCTTTCTAAAGCTAATAAGTAAATATATAGTAAGATTTTTTACCTTTTTTTTTTTTTTTAAGAACAATTTTATAATAGAGTAATTTGATCTCCCCTGTTTTTTTAAAGCTAGAGTTGTTCTCTATATTATATTAATTTATAGATTCTTTTCGGGATCTTAAATAAAAACAATATTTAAAAATCCGATTTTTTTTTAGCATGATTAGGCAATTCATATTCAAAAAAAAATTTTTTATATATAATTCACTCTTGTATTAATTGTTAATTGATACTTATTTACTTGAAATCAAAACAGTAATTGCTTCTTTTCTTTAACCACCTTAGGAACTATTAATTTCGAGTTTGTGAAATAATAAAAAAAAAAGTATAAGAACCCTTAAACCTTTATATTCATAATATATAGATAATCTATAGTGAAGTTATAAATTAATAGCAAAGTATTTGCTATATCAAGAATCGATTGTAGAAGCAGTGGGGGTTTTTTTTTTTAAAAAAAAATTAAATTTTTATACAGTAAACTTTTTTACATGTATTTCGTCAGAAACGTAGATAAAAACCCTGCACTTAAATCCTTCAATTTAAAGAATATTTTATTAAGAATTTGCACTCACTTAGAACTAAAAAGCTATGACGTAAATGATGCCTCCATGTTGAGTGCCGTTGTGTAAACTTGGGTAGGAAGCCATGCAGAAAGTTGATTCATTGTTCTTTGGGTTGATAGCTATCTCCTTATCCATAAACTCTATGAATTACACTTTAATGGCTGTAACTACCGATATAATAAAAATAGCGGGATGCAGTCTGAATTTTCCGGATATGGACAGGAATTATATTGATTTGAACTTGCATTAGTTCTGAATTATTAAGAGGAATTATGTATACAATACTGGGTAAAATTTGTTGAATAACGGTAATTGGCAGACCGGGCGTGCTGCTTCGCGGAACGTGTGCCAATCATTTGCTCGTAATCGACAATTTTGCTGAGTTTGAAAAATAACAAGCCCAGAAATGACATATTAAATTCGCTGCCAGATTAACAAGTTATTGGCTGCGTAGCATTCAATAACGGTATTATCCAGGTAGTTACGACGACCGAATCAACAGAATGACTCGAGTTATTCTGTTGGTACGATCATAGTACGTAGCTGCCGGATAAGAAAATATATCCTGAAGCATTAATGAAAAAAAATATAGCATAGACCGTAAATTAGAGTACCGGCATTACAAAAAGTTTTGACCAGTACATTTTAATTCATCGTTTGATAATCCTCGTTGTAGCTTCCCAATATGACGAAAAGTTAAATTATGTACCTGATTTACCAGTTACGCAAATTACGCAATTTTGCTCCCTGTTGTTTTAGCGTTTCTAGATAGTTTGGATTATATAAATCCCCCAATAGACAGAAAAAAAACTGACCGGAATAACCAACGCTATCCTAATGTGGATTAACTTGTCGGGGTTTTGACCTTGTTTGGATTTTAAGCAGCTTCCATTTTGGACACCTTTTTTGTGTAGTTTATTATTTTGGATGATCTTTAATCCGCATATGGTTCATCAGTTATTGCGGAGCTTACGCAGAATTTCCGCCCAGTCAATTCGCTATAACGAAGTGAACTGTATTTCAGGAATTTGTATTATACTTCGTTTCTCTTGGACTAACAAAAACACGATTACATTTCACAGTTGTCTTTAAATTCATAAGGCGAGACCAACTTGATTTGGTAGTTTACATTACATCCCTTCTTCAAAAAAGGGAACGTATACATAGTAAATTTTATTAAAATTTTTTTCAATCGGAAATTATCGGCCTGACCTTGCTCGTCTTTATTTTCTCTTCGGAATTTTCGGATCCTTAGAATTTCTAATCTTAATTCCGCCCAGCATT